GACTATAATGCTGAGATGCTTAGGAGTCCTAGTGCAACCGGAAGTTGTAGTTGGTTCCGTATTGCTCATGTGTTTGGGTTAGGATGGGACTTTGACGGCAGGATCCTTCATGGACGACGTAGCGTACCATCATTGGGATTCCTTGGTTTGGATTAGATTTGGCACGAGGGAGTGCCTTGCTGATCCGAGGGCCGCACAAGGGTCCCCACGATCGAGCACGACGTATGCCCGAGGACGAATGGCCGAGGAGAGAACTCGAGGAAAGAACTTTGACGGTGGCGGAATCGGGACCGCGGGTCCTCGGGAAAGGCTGCTCGGGAATACATCATCAATATTAAAATCGTAACTGATAACCTAATTTCTCTATCCACTACCTTCCCCTTTCTCTCGCGCCTGCCCTCCCCTCCTCTTCCCCATTCTTTTTCTCTCTCGCGCTCGCCGTCGAAGATGACCGTCCACTGCCGGAGACCACCTCCCAGAGCTGAGCCGCCGCACTTTTCCCCTATCTTTTGGCACGGTCCTCTCCTCAAAATCCTCAAACACACCTTTTTTGTCACCATCAATCTTGTCCAAAGAACCCTATCCTTCCCCAAAATTCAGTCTCCTCATCGCTCAACCCTTCGGCAGCACCCTGATTACTACCTTCGTCCAGCGCTATAAAATCTGGAGCTGCAACTTTGGCCTGCCATAACCTCTCCCTCTTCGCCCTAATCGCCTTTATCATTGCCTGGTCTGGAATCTCCTCCTTACCCTCTCTTGTATCCATCCCCAGCTCCATCGAACCAAACCTGGCCACAGCATCATCATTCCCCACTGTCAAAACTCCATCATTCTCAAAGGGTTTTCCGGTACCTTTAGTATTCAGGTCATCCGGAACTGCAGGCTTCACAAGGCCCTTCAAAACTATCACGGGTTTAGGCTCGGGTTTCGGCTTTGCACGAGTAACAGAGCGGGAGGAGGCAGCGAGTGTTTTGGTGCTCTTCTGAAGCTCTAAGAGGGCTTCTTTTGTGTAGGTACCGGCTTGGGGCTGGACATTGGAAGACAGTGGGCCTAATGTGGTGCTCTGGGCTATGGTAGTGGGCCTAATAAGGTGGTTGTATTTTTGTTGGCAGCGGTAGAGGCGATGGCGACGATGAGATGGGACGAAGAATGTGTGTGACCAACTATTTGATCAATTTGTGACCCAAGTATTGGCGGTGAATCGAGATCGGGAATGGGAGTTTGGGTGTATGTGACCAATTATTTGGTTCGCCTTCGTTATGTTGCCTTCGTTTCTCTCTCCAAAATGTTTTAGGTTCTTTGTTGTCAGTGGTGGTGATTTTGTGATGGTGGTTTTCAGTGATGTTGGATTTAGTGGTAGCGGCTTTGTTGGTGGAAGGGTTGTGGTGTAGTGGTGGCGGATCTGACAAGGTATGTTGGATCTGATGGTGATGGAGGCGATGGTTGGCTTGGGCACAGTGTTGTGTGCAGTCAAGGTGTTGGATCATGATTAGAGGTGGAGGTGGAAGTGGAGTGTTGGTTAATTTGTGACCAACCATTTTGTTATATGTGACCTAAAAATTATATAATTTTTGATCATAAAAGAATTCGTGACCAACTAATTTGGAAATATGTGACTGTGTGACCTATAAATTTTGAAATTTGTGATCGACGAATTAATTGTGACCCATAAATTTTTTTTATATGTGATCATTAAAAAATTTGTAACCAACTAATTTGAAAATCTGTGACCTGCAAATAAATTGTGAACAATTTGTGACAATTAATTGTATAACTGTGACCTTAATATATTTAATTAATAAATATATGTTTAATTATTTAACTAATACTTGATTTATGAATTTTGAAACTTAAAATTTGAATATTGATTTGCCTCATTCCAAGCACCTGACTTTTGAACTCTTTCCAAACGAGAATTCATAAAGGTGAGGTGAGCCGCATATAGTTGAGAAAGATGAAGTCTTTTTTTTTTTTTTTTTTTCTAATTTTGATACTTGGCAATTATTGTCTAATTTGTGCCACGCCCGTTTACTATGTGGACAATCTGTTAATGAATTAAGTTGTACAACCAACTTGATTGACAATGTATGAGTTGAAAATATTCTCGTCATTGATTTCAAAAATAGTTTTGCAAATGAATAGATATAATGTCTGTCAACGTAAATAATCGTCAATCAAGTTGTCAGCCAAATTGTACAAGTAGCATGACATGGTGAAACGGAATCCATCTTAGTGATGGATGGGTTACACTTACACGACTCAATTATTTAATAGTAACGCAAACTATAGTTCAATGACCAATAACATAATTAATCCGACATGGAGAATAAAGAAAAGAAATAATGAAATGTTGAAGACAAAAGGAGAAAGCTATGAAATAAAAGCTATTCTTTGCTTCACCAAACTGTCTATTCTTTAAAGCTATGCAGACTCTACTCTCTCCGGCAGCGCGCTCCGGCGTCGCACCACCAGCTCCACCGTGCACGGCGAGGATAGCAAAGCTTCTACCTTGCTATCTCCACCACCCATTGAATACCTCTAACGCCACGCCTAACCTTCCTTCATCTCTCTCTTCAGTAAAATCTCTCCAATTTTTATCTTCACCTTACTTGATTCTCAAAAATCATGACAGGAAAACCATTGCCTCCTCCCCCATTTCTGCAGCGTATAATTCTCCCAGTGACGATTCAGAAGGGGCCAAACTCGCTCAGGTCTCTTTCTTTCTCTATTTTTATGTCCAGTGTTTGTTAGCACATTGTGCAATATTTATATGCGTGGCATTTTGATATTTGATGTGTAGATTCTTCTTCAGTTGAATTGTGTATTTTTGGATTTTAGAAATATATTTCTATTAGTTTGAATTTAGGGTTTAGGTTCTGGTTTAAATATATGATTGTAGAGTGGGGTTTTTGAATTTTGAAACAGACAAATGCTTGTTATAGATTGGGTATCAGCACAAAACTGAGCCTTAAATTACAGAAATTGATGGGTATCCTCAACTGAGAATTTAATAAATTTTAAAAGATTATAAACTCTAATGAATTTCATGAATTTGAATAGATTTCCACATAATTCATAAGAATCTCATTAAAAGTGGTGAAATTAGGGACACCTGAATTTATAAGGATATTTAAAATTCATTAAATTCTAAGTTGAGGACAAAAATTAATTTGACAATGGAATTGGAAAAATGTATCAAAGCTGGTATGGTTGGTTCAAATTCCATTTTAGCCAAATAGGTCTAGGCAGGCATTTCTGTTTAAACTCAGTTTTATGGTTTCAGATTGATTATCTTCTGAACACTTTTTAAGTTCTGTCGAGTTTTTCTATATCTTGATTTTGTCTTAATGAGAATGAACAATATGTTTTTGAGTTGATGTTTGCTAATTGACTGGTGGTTTTTCAGGTTTCAAAGAGATTAGAGAGTACATCTAGGTATTTCAAGAGATTGGGAGGTTTAGGATTTTGGGGACAGTTAGTTTGCACGGTTGTTGCTGCTGTAATCCTTTCATTTTCAGTTGTCATTACTGGGAAGATTACATCACCAGCTACCTTTTATGCAACTGCTGGTGGCATTGCAGCTGCGTTCGTCTCTGTCTTCTGGTCATTTGGTTATATTCGTTTATCTGATAAGCTTCAGAAAACTGCCAACGATCCTTCAAAGGTAAGATACCAATTTTGACTTGAAAGAATTATTTGATTTCTCCAACAAGATTTTTGAACTTCTACAGACCGATGTTACATTGTCATATCAAATGTACTTGCTATAGCATTCTGATTGGCATTGTTCCAAATTATTCTTTGAATTAAGTTGTTCTTTGGATAGTGAATGTGCATTGAAAATTATTTTACTTTGGATGCTGCAATATTGTTTGAACATCACTAGAAATATATCAGTTACTTGCAGCTGACCATCCCCACACATGGCTGTGAACAGCTCAAATTTTCTTGAATCTTACAATTTCGTTTCATTCATCAATGATAATGAATAGTTTACAGAACATTAATATGTTTGAGCATATTTTACGGGAAATAAAAAGGCCGACTTCATGCTGGCAAAGAAATGACAAATAATCTTCAATGAAATTCCTTTTGAGCTTGGACATGTTCTTTTTTATCACCTTCAATCAGATACCTAACTCTGTTTTCTCTTTTTTAAATTTCATGTATAATAAATTCAGCTCCAAGTCTATTGTGTTTTCAGGCTCCTCCTCGTGCGGATGTTGTAAGAAGCCTGAAGAACGGAATAGTAGTAAACCTGTTGGGGATGGGTGCTGCTATACTCGGTATGCAAGCAACTGTTGGTTTGATGGTGGCTAAAGCTCTTACAACCTCAGCTAATCCTTATTACCAGGGGCTCTCTCCTGGGAATAGTCCTGTTCTTGCCTTGGATGTGTTCTTGGTGCAGGTATTATTCACGAACTAGTACCAACTTCTTTATACTCAGTCAAGGTTCTAAATATGCACCTGCCCTTTCATTCTTGATTTCATTATTCAACCTGTTTTTCGTTTGTGGGCCATTCTGTGCCATGTGAGTTGGTTACTTTTGATAGTAGATGATGAGAAATTTTCTGCCTCCTTATCCGCTTGTGTTACAGGCATCTGCAAATACTATCCTCTCACATTTTTTAGGGCTAGTGTTCTCGTTGGAGCTACTGCGTTCAGTGACATTACCACCTGCAGAAAATGTTCCAGTATTCAAGACTGCATAAGCTTTATGAGCAGGCTGAGCGAAAATACTATCGGAAATTTGACGAGAAAAAGGTGTTTGCCATACGGTCTTGGAGTATCGTTTGTGAGATTGTGTTGAACCTAATTGTGTACTTTCTTCTAATATGTAACAATACTCTTCTTGATGCAGTCAAAGGCAGAGCTGAGTTTTTACTCATATCAATCAAGCTTTTGAAAAATAAAGTGAGATTCTTTTGTTTTTTACGAGTCTGTGAGTCATTATTATGGTAACAAAAACCTCCGTTTTTGAATAATAGATATTCCAATTGACAATAACATGCCATACTTGGCTAGCTATTGTGCCGATAATGTCTGGTTTTATTCAACGTGCCATGTTCAGTCGAGTTACAGCTACAAGTTTATCGACATTTAAGAAATGATTGTTACTGAGTGGGAGAGCAAAGATATTAAATGAGATTGACCTGAATTACATGCCATTCCTGCTAAGTTCCAAGTTCTGATGATGCAACAACTAACCACAGCAACTTACGAAAGGCAGAAAAAAGAATAAAATGAGGAATTATTGTAAAAGAAACAAACGGTGCAAAATATTTAGTGCAACCCTCGAAACTATGTAAAGCAGAAAGGTTCGGCAATAATCGTGTCTAAGCATAAATATGTAAGGAATGCAACTACTACTCTCAAAGGCTAATAAGGAGCAATCAAACCCTTTATCACCCGAGGATCATGCTAAGAAATCCACCTCAAGTACAACCCGAGTCAGCCCCTAATGAAATACGCCCCACCCCCATGTTTAATTGATGCTCTGCATCAATGTCACGAGAGCCATTTGTCATTATAAAACAATCACCGAAGAGCCAAAATAACGAACAAAGAATGAAACTTCGAAAATAAGAGATCAAGCATTAGGGTGCTAATAAAGATGAAATTAGCTGTTGCAGCCATCTATTCAGAACATAAAGAAATATTGCAGTTGTAAGGGCCATTTCATGCGTCTTTTGCTTCTAGGATATGCTGAATTTAACAATAAAAACACGAAAGTATCAAATTCTACCATCTGCAGGTTTTTCACATGAGAAAAAGAACCAATTAACCTACCAATATGCAAGCAAATACTCATGCACCTGCTTCAGCAGAGTTTGGCTGCCGCCTTGATTCCTCATTGGCATTCCTTAGGAACTGATCCCAACCACTACCTGGGCTCGTATCTAGATAATCGTAAGGAACTGCAGTCTTTAAACCCGGACGAATACCACAGTGGTTCTCTACAATTCTAAACTCCAATTCATGGCCTTCTTCCTTCAATTTATCCTCCAATTCCTCCCAAGTATACAACAATGGCAAGGTAAATCCACCCCAAGGGTTAAAATCCAAAAGCTTAACTCGTCCATCTCTTGTGAGATAAACATCAAACGTGTAACTTTCAGACTCAAATTTTTCCATCACCTTCTCCACAAAAAAATCTCTGATCATCATTTTCAAATCGTCTTTCTCAAGTAGAACGGGATAAAAATTAGTGACCTCACGTTGGGAAATTCCGACAAGATTCCGATTGCATACAAAGCAACGAAATTCCATATGAGGCTGCAGGGAAGGGTACCACTTGCGAAGTGCAAGGTAAAAACTCAATGGCCTTGATGCAGTCTTGTCACTACACAAATCATATGCATGAGAAAGATCATGGACCAGAGAGTCAGAAGATTTCAGCAAAAGAGAAATCTCAGAGAAATTGGTGCATTTGAGATTTCCAGTTGAACTTATCCATGCAGAGTCTTTAGGTGCACTCCAGTTAAGCTTGGGAAATGCAGCACCCCCAAGAGATTCAATGGATTCTTTAATCGTCATTTCGAGTTCTGGGAAAGAAGGGGGTGGTGATGATTCTTCGGCTTCATCTCCAGACCCTTCAGACACCACAAAATCTTCTTCCTCTTCGGGCTTATTAACTCTTTTCGGGAGGGCATCATCATTTGAAATGGAAACGGGCAGAAGGAAGGGACCAGAATCATCGAGAAGGTACTGAATAAAGGACTCCGGGAGCTCATGAATCTGGGTTTTTATTGATACAGATTCGAATTTTGGATACCATTCCTGAATCTGACACCTATTTATTTCTTCTTCCTTCATTTTAAGAACCAAAAATTTGCCGCTTCTCAGTAACAATGGGAGAGACCTTCCTTCACAAAACTGATCAGTTCCAACACAAGCAGTTAGCAATTGCATAACTTTAAGAAATGGTAATTGAATAGAACGAATAGAATTTTTAAAACTAAGGGAGCGTTGGTTCGCTGTTTTCAGTTTTATAGATTACCCAAAACTTGTTTAGTATGGTATTTTTGAAACTCAAAATATATTTCCGACGATTCAGTGATTTCCGTTAAAACACTAAAAAGCCAGAAAGTAAGTGTTTAAATAGATCAAAAACTTAAAAAAACAAAAAAAATAGTTCAAGATCTTATTGATTATTTAAATAAAAATTCTAAGAAATTGTTTAAATGAATACAGGTAAAAATCCTAGTCCACATCATTTTTTTAAGACAAAATAACTATAGCATTACAGAATTTACTTGACAATAATTCCTCTCACAAACGCCAGTAGACAATTTTACTTACTAATAACCAGAAGATTAATCAAACCTCGAATAATCTCCGCGGGGATCTGGTGGGGGCTGATTTTGTTCCTGAGTATTTCACCTATTACACTTCGAGGGACGCGATTTTTCGAGAAAATCGCTTCTAGAGGAAGATTATCATCAACAACTAACAATTTTGCAAAAAATTAAAAATAAATTCTAAGGAGATGAGTTGAAATAAAATCATTCACGAACCCCTTTTTACACAAATAAATCAGATACAGCCTACCTTTCAAGTTTGGAGAGAAACTGATGCCGAGGAGGTGATGAACACGTATCCCTTTTTCCCTCTCCTCCGCAGTAATTTATCTTCCCTTGAAGTTGGGCTTTTAATTGGGCTTATAGATTGCGCGGTTGTTTGTGCAATAATTCATCATCCCTATTAGTATTACTAGAAAATGACACGTGAGGACCATTTGAAATTAGGAAACATTACCTATTCAAGAAAATAAGTTTAGCCTATTTCAAAAATAAGAAAACAAGTTTGAAATTTTCAAAATCAAATTTTTATTAAAAAAATTTAAATTTTTATTTATTTAGCCTCTGTTTTGGCCACATTATTTTTTTCATTCTCATTTTTCTACTCATTTTCAACCACACATTTTTCAATAAAATAATATTTTCCATCATATCAATAACTTTTCATTCTTTTTCAACCACACATTCTCCATCACATCACTTCAAAAAAATGCATTATCTCATTTTAATGTGTACCAAACGGGTTCTTAATAATAAATTATTAAATTAATTTATTATTAAATATTTAATTCTAATATAATATAATTAACAAATCCCACCTTCACCACCCTACCGCTCTGGCGACCGTTCCGATCACCGCCCTACTCCGGCGAACTTCCGATGACCGTTCTGACAACTACTCCGATTCCGACGACCGCTCCAGTGACTATTCCGGCGACCGTTGCGCAACTGCTCCGATTCCGGTGACCGTTTTCGACGACTGCTCTGATTCCGACGACTCAGGTCACGAGCCACAGCCCAGGTCACAGTCCAATTCACAAGTCACGGTCCATGTCACAACTCAGGTCATAGTCCAAAACTTTTGTAGGTCACAATTTGTATATCGGTCACAGATCAAATTTTTTGGAGGTCACAGATTATTTTATGGTCACAAATCAATAATTTTAAAGTTCACAGATTATTTTATTGGTCACGGATTAAAAAATTACAGGTCACAAATTAATTTTTAGTGACAAATTGTCGAATTTTAAGGTCACGGATTAATTTTTAGTCACAAATTGTNTCAACACATTGTATAAAAACACCACCACCTCACGACAACCTGTCAGCACTACCACCTCACAACAACCGATCAGCATCACTGTACAACGCCAGAGCCACCACCACACCACCACACCACCACACATAGCACACCGCACCTACATCACATATCACTGCATTACCACCTTACAATCTGAAACTCACAAACAACAATTAGAAACCAAAAAATCGTTACCACCACACCTTCACTGCAAATATTACCACCATTACACACATCGTCATTGATCCCACCCTATAATCGCCAGCTCCAACAACCACCACCACCTCTACCTACAACTCTAACCAACCACAACTACACCAACATCGAATTAGGGCTGCGCCGCTACTAATTTGCAACAGCGACGTTGCTGCTAATTAGCAACAACCCACGCTGCTGCTAATTAGCAGCAGCGTGGACGCTGCCCTAATTTGCAGCGGCGTCGCGACGTTGCTGCAAATTAGGGCAGCATCGCAGACATGAGAAGGGGGAGGGGAGGAGGAGAAGGGAAGAGAAACCGCCGGAGAATGGAGGAGAAGATACCGCCGGCGACAGCGCAACAGCGGTGCTCACTGCAGCACCTCAACGCGATCGCACCACCGACATCGAGCGACATCGACTGCGGCACCTCAACGTGGTAGCGGCTGCAGCATCGAGCGATGGCGACTGCAGCACCTCAACGAGGTCGCGCCACCAACTGTAGCATCGAGCGACGCCAACTCCAGTGCCTAAATGCAGGAGCTGTATCGCCCGCAACGGGGTGGTGTAGGGTTTGCTTAGAGAGAGAAAGATAGATCTGTGAAATGGAGAGAAATATGAAAAGAGTTTGAAATATTGTATATTTAATTATAATAAATTTTAACTATAAAATATCTGCTTTTGGAAATATAAAACATCCAATCTGATTTTAGAAGTGTAAAAACTTAAAGTATGGTTTTATGTAATTACCACTTGAAATTAAGGGGACATCCTCGACTAAGATTTTGACGAATTTAAAAAAAGAAAATTGCAAATTGTATTGAGTTTCGTGGATTTGAATAAATTTTTACAAATTCTATAAAAATCTAATTAGAAATAGTGAAATTGTAAAAGATTTTGTTATGTGTATTTTCAG